CCCCTGTACCTCTGGCCTGTACCCCAGCTCTGTATGGATAAATAAATTAATTTTTAAAAAATCTGTAAAGGACATCTTCCTTAGGTTTGTCCATCTATAAAGCAGGGAGGCAATTGTGAAAATAAATGAATTGATAGAGAGAAAATGTATATATATGTGCTTGACATATGGTATATTCAATAAATGTTGTCTATTAATACTTCCCTATCCCAGTACATGACTTAAGTGAGATTTGAATTTAATTATGACTGGTTTGAACTTTGAATCCTTAATCTCAGTAGTAAGAAAGACTTTTTAGAGTTTATTAAGGCAGTGTTTAACTTTCAACTTCTTATCTGAAAATGTGAATATAATAATACTCAAATAATTGAGTATCAGTTAAAGATACTTGAGATAAAGTGTAGAAATCCTAACACAGTACTATGTATCCGTTGCTAATCTCTGTGGGGTAAAACCCCATAAACTGTCTTTTAAATTATTCACAATTAGTTACTTAAAGTTATAATTTAAAATGTTTTAAAACTTTTTTTTCCAAATTATTTTAAAATTCCATCTCATCCTAGTTTCTCAACATTAAATTCTATTACTCAGTTAAAGCATCAGTTTAATCCGGCAAATATGTGGTGTTATGCCTCCAGTAGTAACGTGGTATATGATAGTGCTATAAGAAATGACAATTACTGCATTATAACATCAAATGATTAAGTATTCAATAGTCAAATGGAATAGAAATTACTTTTTATTTGTGTTTCTAGGAAGTTTAACCCATCGAGGTTATTATTAAATCAGATGAATGCTAATTGAACTTTTTAACATGTGCCAAAAATTTAACTTATCATATTTCTTGATTAAGAAAAAGCAAGGTGGAATTCACTATAGTTCCTCTTTTGGGTTTTTAGAGTGTTCAGATCGCAATACATTCAAATACATACAAATAGAGAATTTGTTAAAAAAAAAAAAAAAGCATCTATGGGTGACATCTGTGAAAGAACAGTAAACCATATCTCCTAAGAACAAAACACATGCATCAGTGTTATTACTTGCAGTAAAGCAAAATGAAGTGAGTACCAGAGAATGTCAGGTTATTGCCACTAATTAGCCAGTGACTTTGATTAAGAAAGTCTGAGTGTTCATTGTGGAAAATGATGAATCTCAATTTGCAGAATAGAGCAGTATATTTTAATATGAACTTTTACACATAAGTGATTATTTTTTTAACTTTTATTATTCATCAGAAGGATATTGCAAACATTTTTTTTTAAAGATTTATTCATACAGAACTGGGGTACAGGCCAGAGATGCGGAGGGTGAGAGGCTTCACCAGACACAGAGTGGGGAGCAGAACAGGCAGATCAACGAAGTACACTGCTAAGGGGAGCAGCGGGCCGGTCAGGAGAGGTCTGCCGCGCCATGTGGTCACCTCCGGGGCAGGCGGGGATTGAACTCACGTGGAAGTGGCTTTAGCTTCTTAGTGCTGTGCTTTAGCCTGCTGCGGCACCAGGGAGGGCCGGATATTGCAAACATTTTACTTCATACCTCAAGAGTTTCTTTTTTGCTTGTTTAGCAAAATAACTCTCTAACAATGCTCTCTCACAATAGGGTAGAGTGCTGGTGGGAATGCAGAATAGTCCACCCACTGTGGAAAGTGTGTAGAAGTTGCTCAAACCACTAAAAATGGAGCCTATCATACGACCCAGCAATTCCACTCATAGGAATCTACCCGTAGACACAAAAACATTAGTAAAAATGGATACATGTGCCTACATGTTTATTGCAACTGTTTATAATAAGACATGGAAACAACCCAAATGTCCAAAAAAGGATGACTGGGTCAAGAAGATGTAATAAACTCATGCCGTTCACAGCAACATGGATGAGCTGGATGGGATCATACCCAGTGAAATAAGTCAGAAGGAAAAATAAAAACTATCATATGGTTTCACTTATGAGAGGAATATAGGGTAATAAAATAAGGGATCAGTAAAAAATAACAATAATAAATAAAAAGGCAAATTAACAGGCAACTTTAAATCAGAAACATTCTGCAGGAGAGGGGTCAAAACAGTGGAGGGAAGATCACAAGGGTCTATGGCAATGATTTACTGGTGGTGGAAATTTTATGCAGAGAACAGAAAGCAAATATTGTAAAAAAATGAACAGTGATATATGTGTGTGTGTGTGTGTATAAAGTATTAAAAAACATATATATATATATAAGTTAAGTACTAAAAACATATTAGGTCATCTTTTAAAAATTTATAGAATTCACTAGTGAAATTGTCTTTCTGAATATTTTTGTTTGGGGGGCTTTTGATTACTATTTACATTTCTTGCTTTCAATTAATATGTTTTTGTGTACTATTTCTTCCTGATTTAATTTTGTAAGATAAATAGGTGAAGATTATAAAGCATATGTGTGTGCTTGTGTGTGTTTTGTGTTTTTAGGTACATCTGACAAAATACTACTTATTTAAAATTGATTTTTTTGCCTTTTGTAACAATCTGGATAGGACGAGAAGAGATTACATGAAGTGAAATAAGTAAAAAGGAGAAAGAAAATACCAGATGATTTCACTCTATTGATACTATGTGGGGTGTAGAAACAAGGAGTGAAGATAGTCAAACCAAAACAATACTTAAAATTTTGACCATAGAATTGAGAATATTAGAAAAGTAGAGTGTGAGTAGGGAACAAAGAAGAAAGGGACCCAGTGGATATGTGGAGGATTATGGATGCTATGGTGATGTGTGTTGTCGTAACATGTATCTGAAGAGATGAGATTGATTTACCTCTAAATCATACACACAGATGTGACAATTTTGCCTAATACAAATAACACAAAAACAAATGTAAAATAAAATGGTAAGTATTCTATGGGGACTGTTATCTAATGATTACAACAAAGAACTGATAAAGGCTTTTAAATGCTCACTGCATTTGTGCATCAGTGTGTACCTATGTATAATTGTATATGTATACATAGATAGACAGATAGATAGATGTATTATTGACTGTGTTAAATGGATATAACTGTTAAGGTTCTATAAAATCATAAATGCAAAAAATATAATTAGTTTCAAATATTTCTATCACCAATAGTCCTATAGGAATTATAGAATGAAAAATCTCTCCCTCCTTTATAGAATACAAATTAGATTAAGTCACAGTAGTTTGGTGTGAGCTGAATAGGTACAGTGCTACTTCAGAAAAATGCTGCATTCCAAATTGTCAAATTGTATGTACAATATCATTCATGCAATAAAAGTTTCATAATACTTTGTCACTAAAATTTTATGGAGCTTAAACTAAAATGTAACATCAATACTAATAAAAGAATATTTTCTATTGCTCTTTTAGGTCTCAGGGTGGTGAACTTTTTCTTTGAGTTCCTAACCTGTGAGCTTCTGGTAAGTTAGTAATATATACAATTTCAAATATTTTTCCTTTATTACACATTCTTGTTAGTGTCCTGTAAATACACTGATACAGTAAATTTGAATTTTAATAGTCACCTGACACTTTATCATACTGTTTAATTGCAGGAGAAAATGCATATTCTATTAAAATGTTTATTTCCTGGGTGATGATGGTATAGGATTTTATATAGTTTTGATAGCTTTTAATGAATTTGAAGACATTCATAATGGTAAAGATTTATATCACTGAAAAAAAGTTCTTTGGATGCACATGATAATTTTATGTATTTAAAATCTTACAGTGTGTTCTGTTTGATGCCAATGAGTAGAAACAATTAGTTATTGAATCTAACATTTATTTTATCACCAAAAGATTTATCAAAATTCAGCTCACCTATGAGCTGAGAGCTTTAGAAAAGAGTTGAAAGTGAAATGTGTAGCTATGGAAACAATGACTTCTAAAGTGATATTGGGCTTTATTGATTCATTGATCAGTTGACTAAATGTATCCAACTACATTTCTTAAAAATGGATATCTTGTTCATCCTTGTAATTATTATAAAATGAAAGTAACTAAAATTTATGTTGTGAAGCTAATATTTATAATACTATAATTTTAATCATTGCTTTAACATTGATGAAGATAAAGAGTTATCATGAGGTTTATATGTAATAGTAAATACTTGGGACATCTGCATCATGCATTTTATGTTTTTGTGAAAGTAATATCCCTGGAAACACAAAGGTAGGAACTATGTATGTATGTATACACACACATTTAGAAAAAAAATTGCTCTTGCCTTTAGTACAGCTTCAGTGGATTGTCACCCATATACCATTACTCACATACATTTAAAACCTGACATAACTTCAGTGTAAAAAAGTTCTTTGGATGCACATGACAATTTTATGTATTTAAAATCTTACAGTGTGGTCTATTTGAATTCCTCCCCCCATATACACACAGCTTTTACTCTTCTCTGGTGACTATAACCACAGAAACAAAACACTTTCTGGACTTCCAGAGGTGCAGATGCTTTGCTTTCTTTATAAAATTTTCTATATGGAATCCCCCAGTAAATATGACTGTATTAAATTTGTGAAATTGTTTGTAGTGTAGCTCGCTTATTGTTGTGTAGTATTCAGCTGTGTCAGTAGTGTACCAAATCCTCATCCCTGTGAATAATGATCACATGGGCATCTGGAACATGCTCTTTAGGGAATGTATATATATATATGTGTGTGTGTGTGTGTGTGTGTGTGTGTGTTTATTTGAGTATACAGAATGTGCAGTGTTCTTCTTTGACCAATACTTTGACCAATACTGACAGTTTGCCAAAGTGTGGGGACAGTTTAGGTGTCCCATACACTCACAAATTTATGGGATTTATTTCCTTCTATTTTAGCTCTTCTGTTTTGAGTAAAGGGATACTTTAGTTTGAGACGACTGATATCAAGCAATTGTTTTATTATTGTTTTATTATTAATTGTCATAGTTATTATCATAACTATGATGTGGATAATCTATTTTGCTGTGTCACCTGATGCACTTTTGGCCTTTCCCCACTCTAGACTCTCTTCTTTGTTTTTATGTGACCTATAATGGCTATTGCGTTCTCGCGTGTAACTGCAGTGGCGTGTTGAAGCTGGCTCAAACTAATTTACAGGAGTTAACTCAGTGTCTACAATTTTGAAAACTGCTTGGTAGGAGTATTTACAATGTATATATTGGCAAACACTAAAAACCAGGCCTCTGTGTTTTTCATCTGGAGAGGTAGGTGGGTGTTAAACATTTACCAGCACACCCCCAGATATTTATATTGTATATTAAACCATTCATTGAAATTTCTCATTACTCTCATGTTGGTGTCTTTCAATAAACAGAATTTCTTAGATGATGCTAGTTTATTAGATTTGTTTCTTACATGATTAGATCTTTTTGTGTCCCACTTAAGAAGTATTTGCTTTTGCCATGGTGCTAAAATAATTTCATGTAGCTTCTCTTATAAATCTATTCTTTAAACATTAATACTGCTTTCCAATTTTTAAAGATTTCGACTTATGTTATTGCACTGTGTATTAAAGGTAGAGAGCAAGACAGTTTTTCATTATACTAATAATTTTCCTGTATATTTTTAATATTTAATATAAAGTAGAAATATGCATAAATATGAAGGCACTGATAGTTTATTTAATAATTTAATATATTTTATAATATTATGGAAGTTAATTTATATTTATGCTTTGTCCATTATGTTTCACATACCTCCATCACTTATGTAACCATAATTTTGAAATATTCAGTAACATAAGAAACTTAATATTTGATTTTCACTATAAATATATCAAAAATTATTTCCATTTTATGTTAAGTGAACCAAAATTCTGCAAGATACTCTACAAAATCACTTAAAATTTCAGAGTACTAGTCTAACCTATACGCATTCAAATACATTATTACAAAGTATATAGTGTCTTTGCAAATGTTGTTTAATAATTTCCATAGGCATATAGCAGCCATGATAAATATAGCCATAAGTCTTAACTACAGAATTCATTACAGTACACATTCAGTACAGTATGCTCTTCATTGAGATTTTGTTTCCCTTCTAATTAATATATGTATGTATGAATGTGTTTATATGTATGTATGTACCTACCTATCTATAATATTCCTTCAAAATAATGGGATTTTGCTCCTGATATGAATCAGTATTATTCTTCATTAAAAACTTGAGTCGATTATGCAAATGGGTTATGTTTACCACAGCTTCTATTGTTCTATTATATAAGCATTTTGAATTGCATGTTTTTTTCTTCTTGAAATAATAATCTTGATGTAAATGCATTCAGTTTTTTCTGTAGTAGATGGAATATTTGAGGGATGCAAGGAAACAGTGGTATTTAATATTTTCAAGTGATAGTTTAGTACAGTATACACATATCAAATTTAGACATACTGGATTATTCGATGTTGTTGAATAGGCTTCAGAGTCACTCAAACAATAGATTTCTATCATATTTTTGATAATTAGTATTGTCCTATCTATAAAATATTGGAAATTATGAGAAAATGGCTTACAAATTCAAATTCTTGAAATAAAATATATTTAATTTCATGTATTTGGAAAGTATGGGATTTTATCAGATGTGTTTTGTTTATTTTAGAATTTTGTGTTTGTTTAAGTTGCCAAAGATGATCAAATAGGTTGTTCTAATTAAAAGCCAACTAAGTGATTTGCACTTTTACTAAATTACCAATATCTGTGTCACATTGACGGAGGAGGAGAAAATGGGTAACAGAACAGTGTCTTGAATATTGGTTCTTTGGTCTGGTGTAGCATGGATAAGTGTGATCCTCCTAGGAGCCTTTCAAGTGACTAAATAGTGGATTTATCTGTAAAATACAGCGCAGGTTATATAGATAAGTAGTGCATAGTTTAAATAATAAAGATATCCCTGAAAGAAAATGATAGTTAAAGGTAAAAATCAGTTGATGAGATTACAGATACAGGAAATTGATGACATTTAAATATATTTTACTTCATTTTTTACAGAGGTGGAGGCTTGGTGAAAAATGAAGTTCAAAATTATGTAGTTAACATCTGCATATAGGAAAGTGGTAGAAAGTAAAGAATTATAAACACGTGAAAGTTACACATAATTTGAATCAAAATCAAAAGATTGAAGTATACAATAAAATTATAATTTATAGCAGTACTCTGAACAGGTCAAAATGCAATTAGAAAAAAATAATAGTCTTGGTAATATCAGTGAAGATTGAATTTGACGGTAGTGTTATTGGATACACAAAATAGCCTTTTTTTGAAGTTCTTGTTCAATTTTACATTTATTTCATTAACATATTGAAGTTCTATGTTTGCTTATTTTCCTCCTGTAAAAAAACATTTTCTAGTGCCTTATAAATATATGGCAATAGCAGACATTCTCTAAAGTTAAGTGGTGCAGAAAATCACTTGTATGTGAAACAGAGAAGTTCCAGTTCTTGTGCTGACATTTGTGTCCTCAAATAAATCTCCTGTAGAACCTTCCCTTTCCTCCTCTTCTGTCCCCTTTCTTAGCATTCTTTCCTCTCTCTATCCCTTTCCCTCCCTACTATCCTTTCTCTACAACTGTGTCATTAACAGATATTCATGAAGATCTTAATATGTGCTAGGAAAATAGCTAACTTACACTATAATTATGGAACAGACAATGCTTAATGAAATACTGTTTTTATTATGACATATTGATCTCATAATGGATCTAATGAGAAGAAAACAAGCAAAATAAATCTCAATTTTTATGTAAGTTGCAAAGAAAATAAAGATTAATTGGGACAGGAGTTGATATTTAAAGGCAGAGTTCACCACATGTGCAATTAAAGAGATCACTGGGTACTACCAAAAAGGGAAACTTGGCATGTTCAAATAACTAAAATAATGCTAGCGTAGCGAGAGCTTATTATGTAAAGTGAGGGGGTATTAGAGGATTTAAACCTTGTAGGCCCTGATAAGGATATTGAATTTTATTGTAAATACCATTAGGAGACCCAGAATATTTTAAACAAAATTTATGATAATCCATGTATGCTTTAAGATGAGTGCTTTGTAGAAAATGAAGTAATGTGAAGTAAGGCTGGAAATGGGAAAAGCATTTAGGAGGAAGAGTTGCAGAATTTGGAGAGAGATATATTATTACTTGAACCACAAATGAATCAGTGAGATGGATTTGCAACCTATACTGGAGCTGAAACCAAAGTGACTGAAATGGTTAGGTCTGAAGAATGAGAGAAAAAGAGACAATAAACATGATTGTTAGATTTGAGCAATACAGTAAGGAAATGAGTCATCAAGGTGGAGGTGGGAAACAGATTCCAGGAACAGACTCACTAAATCCATTTAGTAACAGGAGTGTAACATCTTATCTCTTTCTACTCAGTGTTATTTGCCTTGTTACTCCAAATGAAAAACAAATTAGGAGCAGGAAAT